CGAAAAGCATTCGGCAGCAGGTCTAGGAGGCATTCACCATGGTAGGGCTGAGCCGCTCTGGGTTGACCTGGAAGCCGTATACTGGAGCCTTTTCCCAAAGAGCCTCTCTGACAGAAACACCATCTCTGGATTTTGTGAATTGAAATCTAAATCTTTTATAGAGCTGCAGTGCGGAGATTTAGAGTTTTTTTTGTAGCGTCTGAAAGCGATGGTTATTCTAAAGGGCCCAAAGTAATGGACGTTCCTTCTCTCCAGCTCAGGACACGCAGAGCCGTGGAGGTTTAGAAGGTGGAGGTGGCAGAAGTTTGTGACACACAGTGGGTCCCATAAATGCTGCTCCCCAGAGTTCAATAGGCTTGTCCATCCCATCAATGGCACCATTAGGCAAGTTTGGAGTTCTTTCTCACAAACGCGCGATCCTACAGACACAGCCTAAGGCAATTCCTAAAGAGATTGCAGAAGGGCTTGCCTTGTTTTCTTCTCCTGAACTCACTGATCATGTAGATAAGTGTCTCCACCTTTTTTCTGTGAGGAGGGAAGATTTGCGGGACAACCAGGTGGGAAATCTTAATCTCCACAAATTTCTTCCACAAGAGAATGTGGGGCTGGGACACCAAGGTCTCTCTCAGACATGAAAGTTGGTGAGCCGCCACAAGTCTATACTCGTTGAGGATAGGAGCCCCGTTTCTACCTCCTCGTGGCTCCTCCCCAATATAGAGACGAGCCTGACTTTATCGAGAAACAGTGCCAAATCGATGCGTGGTGACTGACTGGCGACAAGCAGTGAGCGTATCTGACCTTTCCCCTACTGGGTCACTTCAGGAGGAGGAGAAGTCGCAGTGGTGGTTTGACCCCTCACACCGCTAGCCCTTGCCTAACCCCACAATTGGGTGATGTGAAAGGCCAAGCTGATGACCCAATGCTTCCTTGGGGAGATGCTAGCATTCTCCTTCTGCCCACCAAACCCAACGCTAGGCAAGCCACTGGACTCTGCTGAGGTCCTGGCTAGCCCATTACCCTGGGCTTGGGGGTGGGGTAGTCACTTGATACTCTGAATCCCTCAGCTGGGGTTGCTTTTGTATTCCTAAAGTTAGGGACTTAATGTTTCTCAGGGCGGTTGTACCTTCAGCAGGTTAAATAAATAGGGGTTAAGGCTGCCCTGGATGAGGCGCAGCTTTCCCAGCGCTTGGGAGGCAGAGGCAGGCAGAGCTTTGTGAGTCTGAGGACAGTCTGGTTTACAAGTTCTAGGACAACAAAGGGAGCATAGAGGACCCCTGTTTCCCCCCTCCATCCCCGCAAAGAAAAGATAGGGGGTTATGGGTCTTTGCCAAGAGATGCTTGGTTTTCGCCTGCGGAAGGAAGGCAGCGAACACCCCATTCCTTAAACTTGCACAGACGCTGTGTTGTTCTGAGTGGGAGGGACCTTGGCAACGGGTGGGTCCAAACTGCGGCGGGTGAGAACCCATGGCTACTGAGGGACAGACAAATACGCCTCACAGACAAAGCTTGAGTAAGGCATTTTATTGAGATAAACCGGAAAAGGTTAGGAGGGAGGGAGGGAGGAAGGGAGGGAGAGAAAGAGAGAGAGAGAGAGAGAGAGAGAGAGAGAGAGAGAGAGAGAGAGGCAGAGACCTGCTTGGTTCTTCAGAAGAACCGCAGGAAGAGGGTGTGGATGGGTGGGGCTTGTCTCTTAAAGGGACCTTTTGCAGCTGTTGAGTGAGCAGTCATAGGATCCTGGACTGGCCAAGGTACAGCCTGAGGGCATTCTGCCAGGTCACATATTGCCCGAATCCTAACAGGCTGGAGAAATAATTTCTAGGCCTTTAGACTGCAGTGACTTTTAAAATGAAACCAAGCATGAAGCTGGGTAGAGCTTTTGTTGCTCTTGCAGAAGCCTGGGTTCGGGTCCCAGTACCCACATGACAGTTCACTCCCATCCATAATTCCAGTCCCAGGGGATCTGACCCCCTTTTCTGATCTCCGTGGGCACCAGGCATGCTTGCATACATATAGTGCCCATGCCAACATGCAGGCAGAACACTCATACGCATAAAGCTGAAATACATCTGTGGGAATTGCTACCCCGAGTTATATTTCCCTGCCCCCATTTGAGGTGCTTATCTGCAAAGAATCATAACTTCCCTCTGCTCGTGGAGTTGGATGAGGAAGTTTGAGTGCACATGATTATTCCTTGATCCCTGCTGGGGTCAGGTGACAGTCCCTACTGGGGACAGGTGAAGGTGGAGTGCACATGATCAGTCCTTGACCCCTACTGGGGTCAGGTGAGAGTTCCTCCTTGGGTCAGGTGACAGTCCCTTCGCAGCCCCCTCCCCATTTGGTGCCATGGTATAAAAGCTAGCCCCAGCAGAACAATAAACGAGCTGCTGTTTCACCTAAAGCTCGTGCTCTGCGGATTTCATTCAACCTGGACACCCTCCGCCGAGACTCGTGGTTCCAGACCGTGCAGGCGCAGTATACATCTAAAAAATAAAAATGAAATCATGCATCCTCGAAGGGCGAAGAGATGACCAAAAGCTGGTTTGTGTATGCAGTGGAACATCACCCAGCCTTTACCAGGAGGAAACTTAGACACACGTATAAGGTTGGATGAGCCATAAGGACTGTATGCTAAGCCAGATACTCAAGGGCAAAAGCTGTCTAATTCCTCCTGGAGGAAATCTAACACAGTCCGGGTCAGACAAACAGCAGTAAAGCCATGGTTGCTATGGGCTAGGAGAGGGCCGTGGAACTATTGTTTAATGACCGCAGAGCTCCAGTATGGATGACTAAATAAATAAATAAAATATCTGGAGATGAATGGGGTTGATGGGTGCACAGCAAATGAATGCGTCTAATTTGAGCTGCCAATTTCAAAATAGTAGAAATGGCAAAATGAATCAACCAAGGAACCTGCATTATAGTGGTGCCAGCCATAGGCTTAGTTAGTTCTGCTTGTTAAAGTTACTTAAAGGCCCTAAAATTTGTTACAAAACATTAAGACATCCAAAGAAATGGTCATTTCTAACTTCAGGAAAGAGACGCAGGCAGACTCTCTAGGCACAGGATGATCCTTTGGTTAGCGGTGTTTTAGCAGCATAGAGAAACCAAATCGCTGGAATCATGGCTTCAATTTGCATTCCCTACCGTATTTGTGCGGTTGGTGTCTACAAGGCCCTGGGCTGGCTGGTGCCAGGCCCTTGATGGGCAGAGAGCAGGGACAACGAGACTCAGGTCAGGCCTCACATACTATGTTTGCTCAGAGGTGAGGCTGGCTACTGGAAAGTGGGTTTCTACCAGTGCTGCATGCCCCTGTGGATCACCATGACTACTAGAAGGTTCCGTCCCTCCCATCATTTCCCAAATCCTGCCATCAGGGTGCCAAGTCCCTGGGGTGGCCCTGACTGTTCCCCCTGCACCGCAGAGGCAGCTGGGCATGGCCTGCTGTGCTGGGTGAAGCTGCATTTGTAAAACGCCTTCCCAGCAATTGGCATAGGGCATATGCTTGATACTGGGGAGCTATTTTTATCTGGGCTGTCTAGAAAAAGCACACGATTCAGAGTCCTTAGAGTTTGGATCGGATCTCTGTTTACTAGGGTTTTGACCTTCAGTGATTTCCTTCAGTTCCCATAGCCTCATACTTTTTTGTTGTTGTTGTTTGTAAAATAGGGTCAACAAAATCTGTCTCTTGGGGTTTTATGCCAGTGCAAAGAAATGTAAGTTTTCTACCTCTGCTCCCTCCTTCCCTTTCTCCCTCTGCCTTTCTCTTCTTCTCTTCAATTTTTCCTCTCTCCCATTGGCCCTTCCTCTATCCATCCCTACCTCCTTCCTTCTTTCCTGACTTCTCGTACAGTGCTGTGTGTGACAGCCTTCCACGTTCAACCCTATAGGTGCCGCCTCAGCCACCCAGAAGGACAGTTCTACCGGCAAGGTGAGATAGCTCTCTGAAAGCGTCCACTTCCGTTTCACGAAGGCTAATTTAAGCCCATTCTTGACCCTAGGATCATGGGAGGCCCTGTGAAGAAGTCACAGGAAGTTGCAGCCTCCTTTCTCCAGGGCCTGGCAGCTTTTCTGTGGGAACAGCTGTTCACATAGAGAGTGGCCCATGAATTTGTAACCAGCGCCTTCTAGGAGGCAAGAGCTATCTTCCTTCCGAATTTTGTCCTTAATTTTATGTGGGCTTTCACACGTGATCACTCGGTTTAGACCCTCATTGGCTTGTCTTTAGTTTTCTTTCACAGGTTGACTGTTCAGGGTATGAAGACAGGGACACTGGTTTTCTTCTTGGGGCTAAGCTGGCAGGTATTGTGGGGTCTCTGGAAGATTCCCGGGGCCTCTGTAAGTGTGTCTTGGTTGGTTCACAAAGACAGGATGCTGAAGTAAGCAGCAAATGATTTCTTCAGGGGAGATGCTTTGGACTGTCCCTTGGCAGAGGCAGGGACAGTTGGAAGAGCCTTCTGGAAGCTTCCCACCTTCTCTCTGTCCCTGGTCAGTCCTGGTCTTTGCTCAGAACCTAGAAGTCACTTCATCGGTGTTGTCTGAACAAGGCCAGACCCATGTTTCTCACCCTCTGGAGGCTTCTGGGGTTGTTCAGGCAGGACGAGCTGCACCTCTGTCTGGGTTCTGGGAATGAGCCGTACACATTGCAGCATCTATGGCATTGTATTGTAATTATCTATGAGTTCCAGACAAAGGCCTGAAGGGCAGAGGCGGTTCCTCGCCCCTTTCTCTAGCTTCTGCACTACGGGAACTCTGCATCCATGGTTGAATAAGTAGCGCCTCTGAACTTGTCTGGTGCTGGCAGCGATGAGGGAGGTCCCAAGGAATGAGGGGCTGGCTGAGTATCAGGGGCCACTACATGTCAGGCTCCAGAGATTCGGTCTGCTTGGCAAGAACTCCATTCCCCGTTTCCCAGAGATTGTTCTCGTAATACACTGGCGACGCGCCCAATCCAGGCTCTGACTAGTTCCTAAAACAAGTTAAATCTTTCCCTTTGGGACAATTCCATCAGCAGGGGTACATGAGCCTGCTTCTCTGATGACCTTGGTGTTTGTAGCCCGGACTTGGGCTCTTTTTCATTTTGGTTCCTCAAGACCTCAGCGGCAGCCCTGTTATGCTTGGCTGGGTTTACTGGCTGGTGAGGAGGTAAGCGCCCTCTTCGCAGATCCTGGGATGAACAAGAGCTGCGTCCACGCCCCCACCCACAGCTGCCGGTGCCTGGCTGGGATGGAAACCAGGCTGCTCATCCAACAGATCTCAGTGGAGATTGGAAAGTGCTCCTCGGAGTAGCGAGTTGTGTCATCGTTGGGATGTGGAGAGAAGCCAGGCTGCCGATGAGAACTACAGTCTTCCTGTCACCCTTGGTTTCCACCCTGACGGAAGGGCGATGCCCGCGGCAGGGCCTGGACCGAGTGCTACCAGACGAGCATTCCTGAAATGGGGACCAGGATGGCCAGAGCATGGGAAGTAGACTATCCGAAGAATCCACCGTTCCAGGCAGTGTCTGGCTACAAGGCAGAAGAATTTAACTCTTTAATTCTGACTTAACACCCCTGGACAGTAGTGAGCACGCTTCCTGAGTCATCTCCAAAGTCCTTACTCTACATGTGATCTCAGGAGATCTAGAGGGGTAATGCATTAATCAGTGTTCTCCAGAGGAGCAGAACTTTTACAACGCATATATGTTCATATGTATGAATATTTATGATGAACACATATATGCACATATACATGAATATGTATTAATCCTATATGTTATTTATTTATTTATTTATTTATACACATGCACACCCACACAGGGGATTTATTAGAATGGCGTACAGACTGTGTGTGATCCAGCTAGTCCAGCAATGGTTATCTACCAACCAAAGGCCCAAGAATCCAGTACTTCGTTGTTGAGTCTATGGGGCCGAGTGTCTCAGCCGGTCTTCAGTATATACTGGGAATTCCAAAGAAGTAGGTTCTAATGTCAGTGAAGGAATGGACTTGCTAGGGGAAGCGTGAGCAAGAAGGCAAAGTCAGAGCAAGCTCCCTTCTTTTATGTCCTTTATTTAGGCTGCCAGCAGAAGATGCTGTCCAGGTTAAAGGTGGGTCTTCCCATGCCAAACTATTTGATTAAAAAAAAAACAAACCTTACAGGTGTGCCCAGCTATTTGGGTTTTAGTTCATTCCCGATGTAGTCAAGTTGACAACCAAGACTAGCCATCCCAGGTAATGAAAAAGACAAGTACCTGTCCACTCACCTTTCCCCTCCAGGTTCATTAAAGAAGAATGTTTTATTGATTTTAGGTGTGGGGCTAATGGAGTACATAAGAAACCTCAGGAATCCTTTCCCTTTGGATATGTGAGCGAATGAGCAAAGACATCTCCGTGGACAGTGTGTGCTGAGGGGCGCGCAGATGACTAGCCCCCTCACTGGAAACGGAAGCACAGGTCTGGTTGGAAGCAGAGTGGAGGGGGATGGGAAGAGTGCTTGGCCAGGACTCAGCTCCAGCCTGGTCAGTGACTCTCGGAACTTGAGCTCAACAAGCTATCTGAGTTTGCTTTATTTCTAAGATTCACCCAGCAGAAGCCAATATGACTTTAAAATAGGCACGGTAAGCTATTCTGTATGCTTTACAAATAATAACTCACTTTATAAAAAAATATACTTTATTCTATGTGTGTCAGTGTTTGGCCTGCTTATGTGTCTGTGGACCTTGAACACACCTGGTATTGACAGAGGCCAGAAAAGGGCATCAGGTCCCCTGAAACTGGAGTTACAGATGTTTGTGAGCCTCCGTGTAGATGCTAGGAATCAAACCCATGTCCTCTAGGAAGTGTTCTTAACTGCCGAGCCATGTCTCTAGCCCCATTTAAATGACTGCTATAACAATCATGAATGCGGGATTGTTAGCAAACTAATTTTACAAGTTAGGAAAGTGAAGGGCAAATTGCTGGGGATCTTGTTCAAATTCACATAGCTGATAAGTGATGGACCAAAGCCTGGGCTCTTTCTTTAAGAAGAAGGGACAATGTTTGTTATCCTGAACGCACTGGGGAGTTCATGCACACAGAAAAAAGACCATAGATACAAAGGGAAAAGGTGGTCGTTTGCAAGTACAGCAGAAATGGCTCAGAAGAAATCAGCTGCTCTAGCACTTTTGCCTCAGACTTTGATCCCAGGATTATGAAAAACTGCGAGAAAAGAAATTAATATTCTTTAAGCAAAGTACTAGCCTTGCAAACATGAGGAACCGAGTTCAAACCCTGGGACCCACGCAGTAGAAGGAAGGAAAGACTTCTGTTAGTTTTCTCTGGCCACCACACCTGTGTTGTAGTATGTATGTATACGCATAAAAGGTAACTTTAAAAATACAATAAACAAGACATACTGCACATGTGCACATGACTACACACATGTACTCACATGAAGACAGAAGAAAGGACAGAAAGAGAAAGCATGTTGCTTTGACCACATCAGTGTTTGGTTTCTCTGTGCTCTTGTTAAGTCATTTGTAATTCTGTGTGATTAGAATGAAAGTCTTCAATATACAAAGTGAACAAGGGCCTGGATCTTTATCTGTCTGTCTGTCTATCTATCGATTGATTGATCTATTGATCTATCTATTGATCTATCTATCTACCAATCAATTATCTATGCATACTACAACGCAGGTGTGATGGTCAGGGAAAACTAGCGGGAGTCTTTGCTTCCTTCTCATCTGTGGGTTCCAGGGTTTGAACTCAGCTCCTCATGCTTGCAAGGCTAGCACTTTGCTTTCTATCTATTTATCATCTATCTATCTATCTATCTATCTATCTATCTATCTATCTATCTATCTATCTATCTACCTATCTACCTATCATCTACCTATCTATCTATCAATCATCTATCTATCTATCTATCTATCTATCTATCTATCTATCTATCTATCTATCATCTATCTTCTGTTTATCATCTATCCATCCATCCATCATCTATTATCTATCTATCTATCTGTCTGTCTGTCTGTCTATCTATCTATCTAATTTCTCTCTCTCTCTCTCTCTCTCTCTCTCTCTCTCTCTCTCTAATGAATAGAACAGTCCTTCACACACAGATGGTACTCAGGAGAGGTCAAATGACAAACATGAGTGGACCCATCCTCTTTGCTAAGATCAGACCAACCTCCCTCCCTCCCTCCCTCCCAAACGTGGTTTCTTACAGGCATTGACTGTGTTTTTAAATTACAAGATCCTTGACTCCTGCATATGCCTGGCACAGAAAGGTACTCATGCTAAATGAATGAAGCCACATTCCTGCCCTTTGCCTTAGGTCAGAAGTTACCCTTAGTCATGAAGGTGTGAGCACCCTTGGGTGCTATGATCCAGGGGACACTGACACCAGTGAGCAACAGGGAAGTCTTTTGTAGTAAAAAAAAGATGTGGTTGAGGAAGTGGAGGGTTTTTTTTTCTTTTTTAAAGACTTCATAACTAATCGCTCAAAGTGTAGAAGTTTCAAACAACATTTAGTATTTTTCCGAATAGTTCTCTGCTGTGTGGGGTAGCTACAGACAGTCAGTTAGCCGCCCTCAGCTGGGGGCTGCTCGGGGTGAGCCTATCTGAGATGGCTGTCTGTCTTTAGACTCTGCTTCTCCAGGCGTCTCCCATCTTTGTCGTGTGGTCCAAGCTTCTCCACAGCTAGATTCTAAGACGGGGAGAGAAGTTCTCCAATGCTTGGAGCCAGATCCGGGGTTCGAGAACATTATTTCTGTCACATTCAGTTGGGCAAAGTTAAGTTATAGGATTCAAAGGGAGAGAGAACAGAGCCTCTCCCCCCACCCCCCATGTGAGGTAAGGGACAGAGGTGGGAGAGGCTGCAGGTGGCTAAAGGGAAGGCTACCACAAGTGCCAGCAGGAGTTGCAGAGTGTCGTCATTTGCATGCCGAGAGCTGTTGAGGTTTGGTTGTGGTTTGCCTACCAATGAGATTGGTTTACTTCCCAGGTAGTGGAAACCACAGGGAGCTAACACTACTGCTGTGGCTATGTCCTGGTTCTGACCCGGGCATTGTTTTGCCGTTACTGCCTTGTTCTCCAGGTGATGCCACAAAGGGGCAGTAGAGGGGATGGAGTGACCAGTGCACAGAATACAAGTTAGAGGTGGCACTGGGGTTGCTGTTGCCCTTTGACTCTTGGGCAAAAATATAGATTTTTTTCCCACCTACATTATGGGAGGAGTCATAGAATCGTGCTGGACCACCATCTCTTCGCTTAGCTTATGTGGACAATAATATCTACTTTATGCAAAAAAATATTTAGTGGCAAGTTGCACGAATTTAGAGTCAGACTATGTGAGTTTATATCCTGACTGGCCATATTACTTTCTGAAAAATAGTTAATTGTTCTATGCCTCAGTTTCCTTTTCTGTCAAGGAGAGATAACAATATTCAATGTCTATAGAGTTGTGCAGATTAGATGTGTTTTAGAAATATAGAGACATCTAAAACAATGCCTGACCCATGATTCACCTGTGGACCATAGCTTAAATTTTTAGAGGGTTTTGATGGGGCATTCAGTTGAGCCAGTGCTAGCTGGAGCCCACCATACACCTTGCCCCTAGTAAATGCTGGCTATTATTTTTGGGGAAATGGGTACTTTAGTCATTTCCCCTCTTTTCAGTTTTTTTCACTGGAGGAATTTTGGAGCAAACGCCTCAGTTGTTTCCGCTTTTCATTGCTCTTCTGAAAGCAACGATCACCTTAACTTGCCTCGAGTTTTTTATCTGTTGTGGGCAGAAAAACTCTCTGTCAAGTGGGAATAGGCTTTATCCCCTTTCCCTGATGTGGGTTCTCTTCCTGCCCCCGACATGAACACCAGCGAGGAACCCTTCTTTCTGTCCTAGCCTGTCCTCTCTCTAGACAGCCGAGTGTCAGCCCCATGAGATTGGGGCCCCACTGCAGCAGCTGCTGGCTGGTCATGATGCTGGTACAGTCCTCACCTGTATGCTGGAAATAGCAACACTATCTGCCCATAGAGTTATCGAACAGTTAAATGAGGCAATAGTCATGAGAAGGGCTTAGATGGTGCCTTGCGTATAGCAAATGTCAACTATAGTTAGCTGGTTGAAGTAATTATTAGGCCCGTTCAAGTTCAAAGACCCAGTTAAAATACTCCCTCCTCCAGGAAGACTTCCCAAGTTGCTTCAGATAAAAATGAGCATGCTTCTTCAGTTGAAGTTTCTTCTCACCCTTTTTCTCTCTTTTTGGTAGCTTTTCTCTCTCTTCCCACACTGGATGGGACTACAGTGAGCTCAGAGTCTTTACCACGGGTCTGTTCCAGGTCTAGACACAGGGTAGAGCTAGGGTCGGTTTCACTGTTTGTATCTGTGAACAGAGCACCTCGTCTGCCCCACCTTGCGGATGCCCCTTGTGACTCCTTTGTCCCTCTAAGGAGCTTAGCTCTTTCTTTAGTCTGACCTCACCGGTAGCAGTGACTCTCAGGGCTGGTCAGAGAAAGACTTTGATCCATATCACAGAATTGTGCCTCCCTCCGAAGTTCAGAGTTCAGAGATCAGAGCCACATTTCCTTGGTAGCAGGCAGCACACTCAGTCTCGCTGCTGCTGTTGGAATTAACCAGGATCACTTGTGTTAGAAGCAGAGAGTAGACTACGCCCTACCAAGCCCCCATCGTGGTTGCTTTCCTCTGGCTATGCCTTCAAGCAGTTACTAACATCAGGATGAGCTGGTAACTGTTGAAGTGGGGCCCCAATATCCTGGAGCTGACACTCCAGGAGAGAGTGAGAGGAGAGGCTGGGACAGAAAGGAGGGCTTCTCTCTGGTGTTCATGTGGGGGCAGGGAGAGAACCCACACCAGGGAAGGGGGACAAAGCCTATTCCCACTTGGCAGATTCTCTACTGGGCACATCACGATTCAGGCAGGAGAATATCAGCATCCCAAGAAGGGCAGGTGTGGCGGTAATGCTCTCCTTCCCTATTTAGTGATTTCATAGCGAGCCATTCACTCGCCACAGTGGTGACCTGGAGAGAAAGGTCCGTGAGAGGTGGAAATGGATCCCTCCTCAGAGAGCCTGACATCCTCTTGGTTCCTGGGAAAAGCGAGCACAAGAGAAAAAGAATCGGGACCAGCATTGTCAGTGGTCAACGGGGAGCGCTCCTTCTGGCCCGGTGTTTGAAGGGGACTCATTTTATTGGGCCTTCTACCAGGCTTTGGAACAATTCGCTGGGCAGTGAGAAAACCTCCACCGAGCATTTCAAACTTCCTGCTTTCCAGGCAGGTGCTCGGGAGATTAATTAGGGAAACAAGAGGAATGCAATTGCAGTTGGGCTCCGAGTTTATGGGGCACTTCGTACCAGGGAGCCTAATCACCCCAGAGGGCATTGTGAAATTCCAAGGAGATGCAGGCTTCATTAGCTTTTGTTTGGAGGATTACAGGATGAATGGCTCATCCTAGGGGAGGAGATAGTGTTTCCTGGACGTGGAGGTGGCGAAGAACAGGCATGCCTGGGGTCTAGGCAGAAGGCCCTGAGCGGTCGTGATCCTGTTGAGGGATGCGGGGGGGGGGGGGCGGCCCCCACGACACACGGAAGAGCGGGAGTGACTGACTCACTGGGGGCTTTGAAGGGTAACTCTTGGTTACACTCCCTTCTCTCTGGCTTTGGCTGTGAGGGCACTG